GAGGATGCTAGTAGTAGCTATAAAATTGTTTCCGCGGTACTAAGTAAAACGCATAAAATCTAAATAGGGAAATACTAGAAAAGTAAGTAGTCACACGAAATTAAAAATAAATCAAAACACTATCATTCAGTAAACGGTAAAGTAAATAAAAAACAAGAAACATTTCAAATATTTTTCCAAACAATTTTTTTATGAAATAATATGCGCTATAAACTCTAAAAAAACGATTTTATGTCAAATATGCCTTTACACCCAAAACATGCAAAAACATGCATTATTAAACTTCATATTATTATGTTTCGTCAACATCTAGCGGAGATATTTAAGCCACATCCCGATGTAAATAATCCAAATCTCACCTCTAAGATTATCCAGTACTTAGATTGTCCCATGCCTCTTCATCTCCCTGAAAAGTGTTTTACACCAAATGAAATAAAAACAGCAATACAAAAATATTCCACCAAAAAAACACCAGGCTTTGATCTTATTACTGCAGAAGTTGCTAGATGTCTTCCGAAAAAAGCTATCCTATTCCTTACCTATTTATTTAATGCAACCTTGCGGCTTTCATACTTCCCACTCTTATGGAAATTTTCAAACATAATCATGATTCCTAAACCAGACAAACAACCTGATCTGCCTTCCTCCTACAGACCAATAAGTCTATTACCTTTTCTAGGTAAGATACTAGAAAGACTGATACTTAAAAGGCTATTACCTTACATTTCTATGTACAAGATTTTACCTGACTCGCAATTTGGTTTTCGCTCAGCTCATAACACAATACACCAGGTACATAGACTAGTTGACGCAATCTCGTGCTCCCTAGAAAACAAGCATTATTGCACTTGTGCCTTTCTCGACATTAGCCAAGCGTTTGATAGAGTTTGGTACGAAGGTTTACTTTTTAAACTAAAAAAATTTCTGTCTCCCTGTTTATATTTATTAATTAAGTCTTATATAAGCGACCGCCATTTTCAAATCCGGTTTGGCTCCTCAGTATCCAAAATCGAGAAAATCTTAGCTGGAGTTCCCCAGGGCGGAATCCTCTCTCCCTTTCTTTTTAATATCTACACTTCTGATCAACCTATCTCACAGAACACTACTGTAGCTGATTACGCGGATGACAAAGCCATCATATCAATTGACAAAAACCCTATTACGGCCTCGGCAAATCTCCAAACTCATCTCAACCTATTGTCTGTATGGTACACCGATTGGCGCATTAAACCTAATCCCACTAAGTCAGTACACACAACATTCACTTTATGCCACTCCATTTGTCCAAATGTCTATTTAAATAACATACTTATTCCCACAGCTGACTCAGTTAGATATCTTGGACTTAACTTGGATAAGCGCCTCACCTGGAATAGCCATATCCGTGTAAAACGACTTGCTTTAAACGCCCGTCTTCGCAGACTACGAACGCTACTCACAAATAACAAACACTCCAGTTTAAAAATTAAAGTTCTTATGTATAAAACATTACTCAAACCTCTATGGACATATGGTCTCCAACTATGGGGTACAGCAAAAACGTCCAACACAAACAAAATTCAGCAATTTCAGAATATTGCTCTTCGAAAAATTACTAATGCTCCACCCTTTGTTTCGAATTACACTATACATAATGACCTGTCAATAAAAACTGTGACAGAAGAAGCTATACGTTTCTACAAAATCTTTCATGCCCGGCTGCAAACACACCATAACCCACTCATTAAAAACCTATCCATCCAAACATTACCTGGCAACCCCAGGCGTCGATTAAAAAGGAGATGGTGCCGTGATTTGTTAGGGAACTAATATCAAATATAAAAATTATAAAAATAAAAAATAATAATAAAAATAAAAATAAAAAATAAAAAAAAAAAAAAAAAATATATAGCTAGTTTCATACAACCTCCAGTTAAGTGCCATTAGTGGGTGGCTTCTTACTCAAGTACTCATGTATTATATTTTAACTCTTATCAAATATGCTAATTGTGCAAAATTGTACAGATTGTATATATATTGTGTAAAATAAAAAAATAAAAAAATATTATTATTACTATTGTTATGAAACGGATTTGTATCTCAGTTAGCATATTTTTCTGTGTAGCAAAAAAAAAACATGCAAATGCATGAACTTACGAGCCCTGGTTATATCTATAAACACAATATATTTTATTATACTGAAGGAGTATAATATTACATATTATAAAAATATTTATTTCTTCATGTTAAGGTAATATTAATGTATATATTTTTGCAAAAGGATTTTACCTAGTATACATTAGTTATATTCATATACTATAATGAAATAAAATAAATACTATTTATTTGTGATAATTTTTAAAAAAATGAGACCAAATAGAAAAATAAATAATATAGAATAATACACTCCTAAGCAAAATGTACTATTTCCTTAAATTATTATCTACAATGGGATGGAAATGGTATGTTTTGTCACAATTATGAAATTTGGATGTCAAATTTAGGACATTTAATCACAATATAACTTAGAGGACACAACAAAAAAATGTTTATTACAATTGTACACATTTTTTGGTAAGATTACTATAACTCTTAGTAATTTCAGTAGTTCATTACACAAATATATCAATAGTGAGAAAAGTGAAAAATGGAAATAGTAGGTTTTGGATTGTCCCCCCTCAATTATAAACCCTAAAATTGATGTATAGGTATATTGCAGTATTACCACAGTTATTACCATCAGATGTACCAGAAATTCTGAGGTATAGCCGGTACAGCCCTTCCTAATTTAAAACAATGTAAAATTGGTAGGTAGTTTTCACATTTTCACTACTTCGGGGTTCGTCCGCCCAAAACGCAAGACCACGGGCGTTTTTCGACGCGGCGCATTACATCCGTCGTGAAAAGCTAATCCGATATAAATCAATGCGTTTTGAATTCGACGGAAAACATAGTGTATAGCCCCGGCCTAATAAATTTCCGATGGGCAACCATAGTGTTTATAGCCGTGAGTGGAACATAGCAAATCACTGAAATGTCGTAATGACGACAAATACATTAAACGATAATACAGAAAAAAAACACTAATGACAGCTCCGTGTAAGACACGACAGCTATCGAATAGGAAAATATAATTGGGTGATTAAACAAAACAAAAGAAAAACCTGACGACGGCCTCGATCACTCCGCTCACGACCGCTCGGTCTCCGTGATAGGCAAATTACATTCCACTGCTGGAATGGCGACAGCGGTCTTGAGGTGAAACACGGATAATCATTAATCCAGCCACGGGTCGACAGCCGCAATCCACGTCGGCACCGTTGGAATACACAAAATCGCAAAGGGATGCACACGATCGCAAACTGCACGCTCGACATGCCTACCGGAAACGGTGAATGACAGTCGCCGCGGCTTTAACGGCAACGAGCGCGCCGTTACAGCACGAAAGCGGTCAAACGGATACGCGTCCACCGGCACGCGGCGTCCATGACACCCAAAAGGGGGTTAATCACAACGACACGGGACAGGAGTTGTGTACGACGATGGCGACGGCTTAGCCACGAGGTTTACGGCGAAAACGGAAATGTGACGACGCGCAAGTCGCGGGACTTTCCGTCGCGACACCCGTCAAACGCTATAATCGACACGGACGGCCCAGCGACAGCCAAAGTAGGTTGACGAACGGCGAGCTGGAGAAGTCCTCTGACTCTTCGACGCCGAAAGCGCAGCCGGTGGCCTGGCTGCAAAGTTCAAAACCGGCGGAAAAACTGTCCGCGTTCCAACAATTAATGGTTTAATTGGCGCGTCCCCCGCGATTTCTACGCAATGACAATCTGGCAGACATATTTTATATTAATCTGTCATGTTTTAGTTTATTACTTGTTATAATGCGAACAATATGTGAGCATATCATATCGTTACGACATTATGTTATAGTCATTGGGAAAATTTTTTTCATTTTTAATCGATGATAAATTTTCTTATTAGATAATTAAGTATAGGTAATTTGTTCTTTAGACTTTTAATTTGGATCACGCGTTTACATGGATTTTCTAACCGTCTGTTTTTTATAACTTCTACTGAATGTGTACTATCAGTTTTTTTTTAATTTTAAAAGGTCCATTGCATCGAAAATCAAATGAATTATTTTTTTAGATATTTTTTCTAATATTTTTTCATTTTTATTTTTGTCATAATAGTCGGTATCACTCTTAATCTGTGGTCAAACAGTTTATGTATAGTATAGTGGTCAGGCAACTACATGTGTCGTCGAGAGGTGTATTTGATTTAATATTGCAACGCTTGATGCATGATGTAGTATTTAACTTATTCTAGACTAGTCTTAAATTAATATTTTTCCCTTCAAAAATAAATTTGCTTCAAGAATCCTTTAATTCTTTATATTTCATACAATTACTCTTCTTTATTTAATATCTGTGCGCGCGCACTTCAATTATATTCTTATATATTTTTTTCTACAATTCCCAATTATTAATTCTCAATTATTCAATGTTGCATAAAAGGTAATCCAGGAAGTAATCATATAGAAGTTTCTCTTTTGTCGTACTACTTTAGCTATCAATACAAAATTGGTTCAGCAGTACAATAATTTGTTCATAAGTTCTATGATTGTTTAAACTGAGCATATTTATATAAATGGTAGAAGAAATTAAGAATGTTATTTTTCATACAAATGCAATTCATCATTTATTACAGTGAAATACAAAATATAACAATGTTATGTTCAATGAGTAACATTTAAGTATTATATTTTTTCTTCAAGAATCACACATAATTTAAAATATAATAGTAAGCACAAAACTTTAGTCACACAATATTCAATAAAAAAAAAGCAAAATTAATACATTCAAAGTATATAAACAACAACATAACATATTATTATATTAGTTGTATTTGAGTAATTATTATATTTTTTAAAATTATTATTCTATAATCATTAAACCTTAATACATAGTTACAAATTTAATACTAATAATGGGAATAAAATGTGTGTCAGAAAATATTCAATTAACATATGAAAATGAGAATTCAATCAAAATATATAAGAAACATATTATATAACTTGAATTCTCAACAAATCTAATTAACAATGTGATGGATGAACAAAAACCAATGAATTATTGTTTAAAGGTGATATAGTGAATTCACAATATGTAAATAAAAATATAATACATATCAATAATACATGCCTGAAATTGGCTGAAAACATTTAAAATAATTACGTGTACACTGTTAAATTTACTATTATAAAAATTTAAAATAATATAATTAGTTATTACAAAATATTGGGTTGACATGCTTTACAATACCATGCTTTGAAACATTTAACAAAACTGCAAATCCTATGTGTTCCATTAATACCACATGCATCGCATAGTAGTATTTCCCATGATCCACTGTTTAAAAAACAAAATAAAATATGAATGTCACTTAATTTATAGCATAATAATAACATACTATCATTATAAAGATACATATTATATAATTATGGCATTAGGGGACGAAGTAGCCGAGTGGATAACGTGTCAGTTGCGACGTGCACCGTTGCCGGTTTGAACCTCGGTCACGGGCAGCACTTCTGTCCGGGCAGTCACAGTGTCTCCACCCGGGCATGGCAGAAATCTACGGATACCCACTAGAAATTCTGCCAAACAAATATGCACATGTTCCACAACCCTACAGTCCCAAAACCCTACAGTACCACAACCTACAGCTAATGGCCTCAGTTGCCAAGCGAAAAAAATAAAAAAATTAAGGCATTTTGTACAACATTAATGTCAATTTCACATAAGTTAGGAAAATACTGATTAAATATGTACAACTGCCCCTTAACGCAAACTCCGACATACTTATACACACATATATATATATATGTTACACATAGTACTGTTCGACTATGGGGTGTAAAATAATAATTATTATTACTAAACACAAATACTTACATATCTTCTTGATATGTTCGTTGCTCTTTATGAGGGCACAAACACTTTTCAACATTGCAACTACGACTTTCAATCTTTAAAGAGGTATCCATGTACCGTATGCCCATGTTTCTGTCAGCATTCAACGTATTTCTAAACATGAATACCATATCTAACAAAACAAATCACCAAAAAACTATAATTATTATGAATGTTTATTAAATTCGGATATTCCCTAACTTTTTCTCGTGGATTTATTAAACATGTGTAATCAATTATTTGATTATTGATTTTAAGAGAGACCGTCATAAGGCAGTCTATATTAGGTCGTAAAATATTTTTGATGGGCCGATGTCGTAAACCAATAACATTAAAAACTACAAACCGAATTTGAATTTAAAAATAATTTATGTATTCAACAGAATTAAGTATTTATTGCCTAATTAATATTATGTTACATAATAAAAACAAAATTAGTATTAATATTACAATCCTGTAGGTACTATATATTTTTTTTTTTATTATTTTTTTTTTTTTTAGTAGAAGCTCACCTCCACAGAAAAGAAAATTGATGTCATAAGATATTAAATATAAAAATAAAGCAATAATAATAAATCATACCTTCAAAGGTATTGCATGTTTCACAGCGCCAATATTGGAAACATGGAACAAAACTGCAAATCCTATGTGTTCCATTAATACCACATCCTTGACATAGTAGTATTTCCCATGATCCACTGTTTAGAAAACAAAAAAAAAATATGAACGCCACTAAATTTATAGCATAATAATAACATAATATCATTATAAAGATACATATTATATAATTATGGCATTTTGTACAACATTAATGTCAATTTCACATAAGTTAGGAACATACTGATTAAATATGTACAACTGTCCCTTAACGCAAACTCCGACATACTTACACATATATATATTACACATAGTACTGTTTGACTATGAGGTGTAAAATAATAATTATTATTACTAAAAACAAATACTTACATCTCTTCTTGATGTGTTTGTTGCTCTCTATGAGGACACAAACACTTTTCAACATTGCATCTACGAGTTTCAATCTTTAAAGAGGTATCCATGCGTTGTAAGTTGATGTTTCTGGTTGCAGACTTCAACATTTCTTTAAACATGACTAGCTTATCTAACAAAATAAATCACCAAAAAACTATAATTATTATGAATGTTTATTAAATTCGGATATTCCCTAACTTTTTGTCGTGGATTTATTAAACATGTGT